AAAACACTTAATTAACTTTAAGGAAAAACAAATGAATATGCACATAAATAAATTACAATCATTTGGACACGTATGTAGGTATTTTTTTTTTGCAGACTCAATAATAAAAATAATGTACAGTTGTCTCTATTCTTTACTGGACCTAAACAGAATAGAAACACAAATAAGGTGCTTTGCACGTTCTTGTATTTCTTATTGTTTCTTTTGCTTTTTTGGTTGCTTTTTTATTTAGACTTGCTAGCTCCTAAGTCTGCTGTGAAAAGTGATATTAACGAACACACAAATATCACTTTTCTCAGCAGACTTACTCAGCCCAGGCAATCTGGGGACAAACTGAGCCCTGGATGGGGAGGTGGGTACGGAGGCAACGGGAGCCAGGGGCAATGGGGCACTAGGAGAGACAGCAAGGGTCAGAGGTGATAGGAGGGGTGGTGAGCTCGGAGAACAGAGCCCAAGGCCCCAGGGCTGGAGCCTGCCACCTCTCACCCCAGAGCTAAAGCCTGACCCCACCACCCCTGGGAAGGTGGGGAACTCACTGGCTGCCTGTTTTTCCAGCTTTCGTGTCTTCAGAGAGGGGCCACTGCTTTGCCCCCCAATCAATAACCACCCAGAAGGCTGTGACTGCAAGAAAAGCCCCCAGTGGCCGCATCTGAGAAACGATGGTTTCGATAATACTTAGTCATGAGATGAATGCAGGGGACTGGACTAGATGACCTCTCGAGGTCCCTTCCTGTCCTATGATTCTATGAATGGCAAGATGGGCAAGGGCCTTTTCCACCAAGAACAATTTAGAGGCAGCCCCTTATTCATGCACATTTCTTCAAACAAAAATTGGGATAGGTTGGGGGGAATTTAGTTGCAAATGTATTGCACAAGGTGGAGTCTGCTAGGAAACTTGTCTGTTATGGTCATAGTTTGAGGACATAAGCACATTGGACCAGCTTTAATTCCAGTAATGGGTTTTGCTATTTCAAATTTAGCCCAACGAATGAAGTTGCAGCCACTCACTTGAGCCATAATATAACTGTGTGCAGTCTTTATTCACCGATCATTTGGTGACAATACAAATCAACTATTAGTCATCAATTATGAAGAGTAACTATTAAAAGTAAAGTACTTATTAAGGGGACACTATCACCCCAAAAATCTTAAACTCACTTTGCCTAAATAGATTAATAAGGAAATCCTTAGGCAAAGTAAAAAACCTAGCATTCAATGCAACTCCTATTACATAAATGTAAGGCACAAATTAAGACCGTGGGCTTGGTATATGTTTTCATCCATCAACATATTTATCTGTTTGGAAAATGTGAAGCACCATTTCAAGAAGTTATAAAAGTGCCAAAGTTTTGGAAGAATATATAGAAGGTGGCAAGGTTTGTGTGGGTTGAACTGAAAAATAGTGGAAAAAAGAAGAGATGCAATATGAAGCCTCACAACAATTTTAATCTGCAGCCTAAATTTTGGCTGATGCTTTTGAAAATAATTATCGCTTTTGCAAGTAAATTAATAGGAACCTCAACATGAAAATTCTTCTGCTTAACATACAACCATAGAAATGTAGGGCTGGAAGGGACCTCAAGAAGTTCAGCTCCCCGTTTTCCAGGGACAATCCCTAACAGGTGTTTGTCCAACCTGATTTTAAAAACCTGCCAATGATGGGAATTTCACAACCTCCCTTGGAACTTATTCCAGAGTTTAGCTATCATCAAGTTAGAAAGTTTTTCCTAATAACTGACCTAAATCTACCTTGCTGCAGATTAAACCCTTTACTTTCATGTTCTGTTACTGGCAAGTATGAAAACTTTGCTGAAGGAGGAAAGTTTACCTAGATGAAGTTGTTTCTTGTTCCTCTTTTTCTCTAGCCTCCCCAAGCTCCCGAAGAGCCACCAAGAGACGCTGATTCTGCTGCTGAAGTTCCTCAATATTTCTGTAGGACACTAGATGCTGGGATATTACTTCAGAAGAGCTACTTATGTCAGCAGAGCTCACTTCTTCATCACGAATTACATGATTGCCTCTGGCTTCCTCAAGTTCCATTAAAAGCACTCTCACCTGAAAAAGAACATTCAGGTTATAAAACTATAACTTACATTTGGTTTTCAAAATTTATTTTTACAGACAAACTCTTCAGAAGCAAAACACTTGAGTTCTGTATTTTCTAACTTTCTATAAAGTATTCTGTCTAGAATTAAAATTGACTGGCACAGTTTTCTTTACAAATATGAATTAAATTTCACTGAAACCCTCTGAGGTTAATAGGAGTTATCCCTTTACAGTGAGACAGAGGTTCAGTCCTTTGTCCAAGGTCACAGAATCCATGTTAGAGTCAGAACTTGAACTCAGGTATTCCTGGCTCACGATCCTGTGCTCAGATCAGTGGACTTTCCACTTCCACAAAAACAAAATCCAATTCATATCGCAATTTTCTATGTCAGACATGCATCATGTTCTCCCAAAGATGACTTAAGCTTCTGATAAATTGAACTTAATCTAATTTTATAAGCAGAAACGGAAATAGGACATTGCCCCAGGGAAATGCTTTTAAGGACATCAGCAACATCAGAGGTGTACTTCACACAAAGCCAATCTCAGAATGTACAATACAGCAACTGACCACTGAGTTAACAAGAGTGAGAGCATTCCACTACTGTATTAGGAAAAATAAATGAGTAATATTTGTTCTAACCTGCTGTGAAAGGTCTTTCACTTGTATTTCCAGTCTTTGGTTCTCTCTTTCCAGTACAGAAGCATGCTTATTGGCTTTATCAGTGTCCTCTTGCAATCGCTGAATTTCCTATAAAAAACAAATTTTTATATAAAACATCTATAAACTCAGAATTGATCAACACTTCCTGCTTCAGTGATCATGCCAAATATGGTGACATTTTTTTCTGAATAACTGTAGTAAAAATACAGCTATTGTGCCTCAAAACAACCAAGTATTTGTTTACTCCTTTGAGGCTGGAGTCCGAGTGTCTTTTTCCACAATCAAAACTAAAAGAAACCAGATAATTACTTTTGCAAATTATACTTTAATTACTTTGGGTAACGCCACACAGTAAAATTATACGATTGTATTCTTCAAAGCTGCCTAAAGGATTTGGAAACCCAATTTCCATGATAATTAATTGGAATTGGAAATATAAATCCCATTTTGTTTAGTTACTCAATCCTCTATTTTTGGTGCCCCCTTTCAAATTAAGATCAACTATGTAAAGCCTTAATTATAAACTTGTTTTCTTCTCACAGAAGGTCACAAGACTACAGGTAAAACACACTGTTCTAGAACCGTAACAGAGATCATGAACAATCTTGTCCATAACCGCTCAAGAACTGGAAAGCACAAAACAGTTTCTTTTGCACAACACATCATTTACTAGAATCCATTCACTATGTTTACAAATTTAAGGGATTAGCACAATAAATCTTCTGCATGCTCTGTACAAGTCATTTCCTGTCTTTCTTTTTTAATATCCATACTGACCTTCATAGCTTGTTCAAGCTTAGCAGACAAACTGGCTACAGCTTTTTGTGATCGTTCATACTCTTCACGTTGCCGTTTTAAAATTGGTGCTTTGGCTTCCACTTCCTGTACTATTTCATCCAAATACTTATTAATTCTCTTATTTTCCCGCTTCTCCAGAAGTAGCTGATCCTGTGTTTCCACATACGCATTGTAAAGCTGTGTCAAGAAAACATTTTTTGAAAAATGTAACCAACCACCTCAAAAAACACTTATCTAAAAGAGCAGTGAATCTGATATGGTTTGTGAGTGCTACAGTGAGCGGAGCTGAGTAGTACAAATGAGACTGTTCCATGGAGACTCAGGACTGGAAGAGCCTTGGTGACATCCTGCAAGGAGTAACCAGGGAGGTGGAAGTCAGGGTAAGGTCACTATGCTGTAAGCAGGCTGATGGTGTCAGCACTCTGAGCTAAAGCCGCAGAGCACAGAGGCACCCAGGGTTACAGGGAAGGCAGTGACACAACCCATACTGTTCTGAGCGAACCTCTAAACCTCTAGAGTGAACCTCTAGCAGCGATCAAGTGCTTTGCTGGATTAGGGCCATGGACACTTGAGTAAATACTTTGTATCCATGTTGTTAATGTTATAAGAAAGATTTTAGTCAAAGACCCAAATAGATAAATGGATTTTGAGTCATCAATTTATAATAAACTAATTCCACCTACCTCGGTTAACTTCATTCCAGGTTTCACCACTTTGGCTACTGCTGCAGCAGTAGGAGACATAGCTGTCAGCTCTTCCTCAGACAGTATAGCTCCTGGATAGGTTAAAACCCCAAAACATATGTCAAATCATACATAAAATAGAAAGTATTCCACAGATGCTTACATTTTATTTCTATCTAGTACACAAATACTATGCACATATGCTCAAAGACAAACACATACTGTACATAGACAACAATCACTACAAATAAGGTCTTATCAACCTCCTCAAAAATAACAACTAGGAAAAAATTTCATTTGGTTCTAAAATCTTAGAAATTAGAAATAAAATACACCTAATTCTAGAGTAAAATTGTTCTTTATAATATATAGTGCTTTGTCCAGTCTAATTATAAGTGTTCAAACAATCTCAATGTCAGATTCTTGAGCCTTCAATCACAAAAAATAAACAAACAATTTAAATAGCAGGGATGCCCCGAAATATAATGGCTGGCAGAGCTCAACTGTGCCAAACTACAAGTGACACTCTAGCAGAGTGAAAGAAGAAAAAGAAAAAAAAAAAAAGTGCTGCCTTCCACATTTTATAAAATTAAAACAAAACACAACAGTAATTGGTTTTCTCTGGTATTTGGACTCTAGCAGATATATTTAGATTGATCGCTACTACATAATATTGTCCCATCTATACATAATATTGTATAGATGAAGATTTAGTGCACTTATTTGCTTTAGAAATTGCAATGCAAAACCCCTTTTTGAAAATTACTTAATATATAAAATCTGGCACTTAAAAGTTCAAGTGTTATCCTACCTTTACGTTTTGTAGCAGAAAGTAAATCATTAGCATTCTCCAGTTCTTTCTCTAACTTGCTAATCTTCTCTCTGAGTTCTTTTTCCATTGCAGTTTTAGACTCCTCCATCTCAGCCAAATGATCCTCTGTTGCTTTGTTAGCTAAAAATACATATTTTTTTTTCTCTCTTTAAAAAGAGTGAAGTATACAAAAGTATCTTTAAAGAGATTTCTTAAATGTCTTCTACGAAGGACATTAAATCATTCATCTTAGAAAGAAAGCATTAACTGGTATTCTGCTGAATGCAGAAGAGGGCTAAAAATTAAACAGCAAGATTAGGACAAGCCAATCTAAAATAATGAGACAGACAGACAGACATGAAGACACAGGTCAAATTTCTTTAAAGACATTCTGCAGAAATTATATCTTCTCAAAATCACAATAACGTTAAGAAAATTCTACAAGTACATTCAGACATCATGGGAATGTACAAAGATTTTTTTAAAGTTTTTTTATAACTATAACAAGACAATTCAACACAACATTTAAATAACATTTCCCACAGATGAATAGTGAAAAAATTCCCTTCACAACTGCCATTGTTTTGGGGGTGTTTTTACTCAAACTGTTTAACTAAAAAGGAACAGAAAACAAAACCATTAAAAAACTATGCAATTTTTATAAGTAGCTTCTCACCTTCACCTGCTTCTTGCAAAAGTTTGTGCAGCTCCTCTACTGCTCGTGTCAGCTCATTGCTCTTTGCTTCTGAATCATCTGCAGCACTCTAAATAGAAGTGTATTATTTAATCTTTTATTACTGAACAGTTACAAATAAGGTAGCTTCTCAGAGGCCAGGAATCAACAAGACATTGGTATAAATATGTAACACACACCAACGTATTACTCTAATTGGAAACAGTTGTCCCTTAGTGTAAGTCCCAGCAACAGTGTTATTAAGGGTCTTGAAATTCAGGTGCTAACTCCCCATTTTAGAGGAAAATGGTCAGTTATTGACATAACCAAAGTTATTTAATATGTTTGCATGGCTGTATTTCGGCAGTATTTTTAGGCACCCAGCTGTCTATAAAAATAATCAAATTTATAAACTTTTTCTAAAGTGTGAGGTTTTCGTTCTTAAATATAAATGCTTTTGGCAAGTTAGCATTTATACTATACTTTTCACTTGAATAGCTCCTTCTTTTGAGAATCTCAGTGTGATTGGCTGTACAAACAATAGAATTACTGCTTTGTAACACTCCCGTGAAAAAACATTATCCTCCATATTAAAGGGAGAGCAACTGAAGCAGAAAGAAGTTAAGGCCCACACCTCTCTAGAACTTGCCTCTAATTTTGGGTGCCCAGATTTAGACTGCTAGGATCTGATTTTCAGAAATGATGAGAAACCACAATTCGTGCTGAAGTCTATAGACACTGCAAATGCTCAGCAACTCTGCAAATCGGCCCTATATAAGATGGACGCTCAAAAACTGTGGCACAAAAATTAGAGGCCAATTACATTTTTTGTAGATTTTTTCTTATAAACAAAATTTGTTTTAATAAAAACCTCATGCATAATGAACCTTGTTAAGCAAATATTTATTTTTTATACTTAAAAATAGCAGCAAACTTCTATTTATATATTATTAAATATAAGCATACATACACATACGTATAATTCAGAGAATCATAGGCCTGGAAGGGACCTTGAGAGGTCATCTAGTCCAGTTCCCCTACACTCATGGCAGGACTTATTATTTAGATCATTCCTGACAGGTATTTGTCTAACTTGCTCTTTAAAATCTCCAATGACTGAGATTCCACAACCTCCCTGGGCAATTTATTCTAGTGCTTAACCACCCTGACAGTTAGGAAGCTTTTCCTAATGTCCAACCTAAATTGCAGCAAGGGCAGTTTAAGCCCATTGCTTCTTGTCCTATTCTCAGAGGTTAAGGAGAATAATTTTTCTCCCTCCTCATTGTAACAGCCTTTTATGTACTTGAAAACTGTTATGTCCCCTCTCAGTCGTCTCTTCTCCACGCTAAACAAACCACATCTTTCCTGAAATGTGGCACCCAGAACTGGACACAATACCCTAGTTGAGGCCTAATCAGTGTGGAGTAGAGTGGAAGAATTACTTCTCATGTCTTGCGTACAAAATCCTGCTAATACATCCCAGAATGATGTTTGCTTTTTTGCAACTGTGTTAACACTGTTGACGACCGCTTCCCCCCCCATCCACAAGGCTTGTTACCCTGTCAAAAAAAGGCATTAGATTGGTTTGACACAGTTTGTTCTTGACAAATCCATGCTGACTTTACTTATCACCTTATTATCCTCTAAGTGTTTGGAAATTACCGTATATACTCGTTCATTAGCCCGTTCGTTTATAAGCCGATCCCCAAAATGGTTAGGTAAAAATTGCAAAAACTGTATGACCCTTTCATAAGCCAACCCTGTATTTCAGGGGTTGGCAAACTTTGGCTCCTGGACCATTAGAGTAAGCCGCTAGCGGGCCTGGACGTTTTGTTTACCTGGCGCGTTCACAGGCACAGAGCCCCTCGGCTCCCAGTGTCTGTGGTTTGCCATTCCCACTTCCCGCAGCTCCCATTGGCTGGGAACGGCAAACCGCGCACACTGGGAGCTGAGGGGCTCCGTGCCTGTGAATGCTCCAGGTAAACAAAATGTCCCAACCCGCCAGCGGCTTACCCTAACGGGCTGGGAGCCAAAGTTTGCCAACCCCTGCTATATTTTAAAAGCTGGCATCACAAGAAACACTCAAAAGTTTTGCTAGAATTATTTTAATGTAATCTAATGAAAAACCTGTTATAATAACTGAACAAATATGTATTCACCTTCAAAATTACAGTCAATATTTAAAATCAGTAAATGGATATTTAAAACAAGTAATGTAGAACAATGAGAGACTTTAAAAAGTCTTAAAATCCTTCAAAGTCTGAATCAGTCTCTGATTCACCAAACAGTTCATTAAACTCTGATTCAGTCACAGTTGCACCTGCATTGTCATCGTAGATGTCCGCAGTGTCGTCTTCAGACTCAGATTCCTTCTCATCATCAGCCTCTGTTGTGTCATCATCAAATACGGCATCATCTTCTGACCCGTCGAGTGTATTGCTGATACAGCATTTCCTAAATGATTTTTCTATCATTTCCGAGGGAATGGACATCCACGTGTCCTTGATCTACTGGGCGACCAGATTGATTTCGGGCTTCATAAGATTCCTGCCTTTTGTCAACTTCGCCATGCCTGAGTACATCCATTCAGACCACATTTTGCGTAGCTTGTCTTTAAAGGGTTTGTTCAGGCAGACATCAAGCGGCTGTAGAACTGAAGTTAAGCCTCCAGGTATTACAGACAAAGTAGTTTTCATATTTTTGGCCACATTTTTCACCTCATCGGTCATAGCAGGTTTCTTGAAAACTGCTCCTGGTCTCTTATTCCACACTTTTTCCAACCATTCAACAGTCCCATTTTCATCCATCCATCCCTTTTTGTGTGCATGTACGATGACACCAGCAGGAAATTGCATGTTTTTAGGCAAGATTTTTCTTTTAAAAATAACAGGAAGAAGCTTTGATCCATTTGCCAAACACGATAAAACCACCGTAAAATGGATTTTTTCATGGCCAGTGGTTTTAATTAAAACTGTTTTTTCACCAACACCAGTTACCGTTCTGTTACTTGTGAGATCGAATGTCATTGGTGTTTTGTCCATATTTCCTATTTATGACAGTTCAAACGTATATTCCTTTCGATATTTTATAATAAACCTTTGGAAAGATTCAATTTTTATTTCCAGATCTGTTGGCAGCTTTTGATCTATCTTTGTTTGCTGACGAAGACAGAAACCATGATGGTTCATGAAGCGAGTACACCAACCCACTGATGCGACAAACATTGATGGTTTTACTGACTTGTATTTGTCGTCTTTCGACATTTGCAGATCATGCAGACGAATTCCAGTTCTAGTGATAAAGTACCTATTTTGTTGACAGTCAACAACCCAATTATTGAGATCTTTCTCTAGCTCAGGAAATGAAGCACACCTCATTGGACATTTTTTCTTGGCATGTCTTTTACTGTTATTTTTTCGCCATTCTCTTACTTGCTTCTCATTGATACAGAATTCACGAGCAGCGGCACAATTATTGTTTGCTTCTGCATATTCAACAACTTTAAGTTTGAACACTGCGTGATAAGAATACCGTTTTCTTTTGATTTCACCGTTGTTCATTTTAAATACTAGTATGAAAATAGATTATTATTGTAGTTACAGATTTTGTAGGACTTTATATAGGAATGTCACCTGCTTTATCACTGTCAAATTACACTGGTCTACAATTTTTGAGAAGTCGTCTGCTTCAGAGATAAAATGTGGATGCTGAACACTTTTCCTCCCAGGCTCCAATGACTGTCGGAGTGGCCAATCTTTCTTGATGTAGTGGAAATCTCTTGCACGACTATCCCATTCGCAGAGAAAACAGCAGTACTTTGTGTATCCAGTCTGCAGACCAAGCAAGAGAGCAACAACCTTCAAATCGCCACAAAGCTGCCACTGATGTTGGTCATAGTTTATGCACCTCAAAAGTTGTTTCATGTTGTCATAGGTTTCCTTCAGATGGACTGCATGACCAACTGGAATTGATGGCAAAACATTGTCATTATGCGGTAAAACAGCTTTAAGACTCGTCTTCGATGAATCAATGAACAGTCTCCACTCATCTGGATCGTGAACGATGTTGAGGGCTGCCATCACACCATCGATGTTGTTGCAGGCTACAAAATCACCTTCCATGAAGAAGAATGGGACAAGATCCTTTTGACGGTCATGGAACATGGAAACCCTAACGTCACCTGCCAGGAGAGCCCACTGCTGTAGTCTGGAGCCCAACAGCTCTGCCTTACTCTTGGGTAGTTCCAAATCCCTGACAAGGTCATTCAGTTCACCTTGTGTTATGAGGTTTGGTTCAGAAGAGGAGGATGGGAGAAAATGTGGGTCCTGTGACATTGATGGTCCAGGACCAGAAGTTTCATCCTCTTCCTCTGACTCAAGTGAGAATGATTCTGGTGCATCAGGAACCAGCAGTCCTCCTCCGTGGGGTACTGGGCGTATAGCTGATGGAATGTTTGGATAATGCACAGTCCACTTTTTCTTCTTTGACACACCTTTCCCAACTGGAGGCACCATGCAGAAGTAACAATTGCTGGTATGATCTGTTGGCTCTCTCCAAATCATTGGCACTGCAAAAGGCATAGATTTCCTTTTCCTGTTCAACCACTGGCGAAGATTTGTTGCACAAGTGTTGCAGCATATGTGTGGGGCCCACCTCTTGTCCTGAGCTCCAATTTTGCAGCCAAAATAAAGGTGATAGGCTTTCTTAACCATAGTGGTTATACTACGCTTTTGTGATGCAAAAGGCACTTCATCACAAACATAGCAGAAGTTATCTGCACTGTTCACACAAGTACGAGGATCTCTGCTCACTTTGGCTAAACAGAAATGTGTCCCTTTGCAAAATCAAACACTGACAAATAAGAGAGCACGACACTGTATGATTTCTAGAGCTGATATAGGGCAATTTGTTCAGCAGAGTGATGTAAGCTTCGTTATGATTGCATCATCCATGACGTCTAGGAATAACATGATGCAATTCCTATTATGTATGACGCAATACCAGCTTCAGATTGCATCATTCATTGTTTTGCCTAAAAAGCAAGTACTGTCCAAACCCAGTCATAGATTTATTCATAGATCCAGTCAAAGATGTATTTTAGTCAATTCCTGTTTAAATTGAGATCCCTTCCCTTTATAACTCACTTATCCTAGGCCATTCCCAAGTCAAGGGTCGTATATACAGACCCAATAGCATATCTTGAAAACTAGAGCCAATCAACAATTTTAAGCATCATTTTCGTTCTCAGTGACCCAGAATTAGTAAAGTTTGACTACATTTATTTCAGAGGCATTTTGGCTGTAGAGCAGTGTTATTATTGTTCTTTGTTTATTTCAAAGCAGCTCTGTAGACTGGCATGTCAGTGGGGATAACAGACTCTTTTAGTATTCCTTTCAAGCCAATCTAGTCTACTAAACAAAGCCTTTGCAACTTTAAAAGGCTGCAGTATTGACATCAATAAATGGGTCGGCAAACTTTGTCTCCCAGGCTGTCAGGCTAAGCCACTGGCGGGACGTTTTGTTTACTTGGAGTGTCTGCAGGCATGGAGCCCCTCAGTTCCCTGGGGCCGTGGGTCGCCGTTCCCAACCAATGGGAGCTGCGGGAAGAGGCGCGCTACTTCCCGCAACTCCCATTGGCTGGGAACGGCGAACCGTGGCCACAGGGAGCTGAGGGGCTTCCTGCCTGCAGACGCTCCAGGTAAACAAAACGATAATGTATTAGATATTCACTTCAATTATTCCATAGAGTTTAAAATCATCAAATTTTGGTGTAGACCTGTTTATAAGCCGACCTCCGCAGTTTGAGGCATCATTTTTTTACCAAAAATATTCAGCTTATGAATATATGAGTATATACGGTAATTGCTTAATTATTTGCTCCATTATCATTCCAGGTACTGAAGTTAAACTGACTAGTCTGTAATTCCTTGGGGTTGACATTATTTCCCTTTTTATAGATTGACACTATATTTGCCCCTTTCCAGTCTTCTGGAATCTCTACCAACTTCCATGACTTTTTGAAGATAATCACTAATGGGTCAGATACCTCCTCAGTCAGCTCTTTGACTAATTACATGTGTAGAATGGTAATCCAGTACAAAAAGGTTATTGGTAACTCTACTATTATTTGCAGGTATTTCAGCTTACATTTATCATACTGAAATTCTAGTTGAATGTTTTTGTAAGACATTAATTTTTATCACATTCAATTTTACGTAGGTAAAACTTTAAACCCTGACTGTGATAGCTTTTCAGCCTATTACTGAATTATTCCAGGCTAATACAGCACCAGCTTGCTCACTTCCCAACTATACCATTAATTCTTGGCACTATTAATTTCAGTGGACTTTTAGGAGCCACACAGAAGAATATTGCAAGACTACAAAATAAGTTGCACAGGCATTGATTAAGACCATTATTAGTGAGCACTGCACTTTATCATGATTAACACATTTACAATACAAGGAAATTCCATACAGGAGGTAAGATACTTCCTCTATCATTTTAAATGCAGTTTTGCTTAATCTGTAGAATGAAGTAAAATAGCAGGTCTGAGTTGAGCAATGTAAGATTTTAAATGCATTGTGAAATAACACCATCATTACCACACCTACAAAGTTAGGGTCATTTCAAGCATTTGGCCATATCAACTGCCCAACCCAAGCTTATTCTCCCATATCCATTTTTCAACATGTCAGAGTAAATCTATGCTTAGTGTCCTATGCGGTCTATGAAGTTTTTGAGATATCTGTTCCTTTTAATGAAAATGTATGTGATAAAAGTCACTATCTTCTTGGCCAGAAGAAACTAAACAGGACTTTGGAGGATTAAGGAAGAGAACCATCCCCCCCATCTCACATTAACACTTTATATAGGCAGAAATATAGCTCTGGGGAAATAGTCTGACTTGTACCACACCCCAAACCCTGGACCTACTTCCATATAATTCTAATATGAATGTATCCAACATTCCCAAACTTACCTTGTACAAGTTAGATAACTTTATATGGGCATTTAGTTCATTATGGAATCTTTCTTCCATACCAGCTTGCTGTTCTTTTGCCTGATGAATAAAAAACATGAATTCATAGCACTGGTTCTGTTTCAATTGAAAGCCAGTGAGGTGACAAAGTTTGCAGACAATATTAAATTACTCAAGATTGCCATCAGCTTTAGATTTAACTAAGAGTTACAAAGGGATCTCACAAAACTGGGTGATGGGAGAACAAAATGGCAAACAAAATTCAGTGTTGGTAAGTGCAAAGTAATGCACATTGGAAAACAATCTCAATTATACATACAAAATGATGGATTCTAAATTAGTTATTGCCACTCAAGAAAGATCTTAGAGTCATCGTGACTAGTTCTCTGACAACATCTTCTCAATGTGCAGCAGCAGTCAAAAAAGCTAAAGGAACATCAGGAACCATTAGGAAAGGGATAAAATAAAAGCAGAAAATATAAGGCCACTGTATAAATCCACGGTATGCCTACAACTTGAATACTGTGTGTGCAGTTCTGGTGGTCCCATTTCAAGAAAGGTATATCAGAATAGGAAAAGGTACAGAGAATGGCAACAAAAACGATTAAGGGGATGGAACAACTTCCACATGAGGAGAGATTAAAAAGATAGACTGTTCATCTTAGAGAAGCAATGACGAAGGGATATGATAGAAGTCTATAAAATCATGAATGGTGGGGATAAAGTAAATAAGGACATAAAACAGGAACCAAGGGTTACCCAATGAAATTAATAAGCAGCAAGTTTAAAACAAACATAAGGAAGTAGGCCTTCACACAATGCAGTCAGCCTGTAGAACTTGTTGCCAGGGGTTGTTGTGAAGGCTGAAAGTATAACTGGGTTAAAAAAAAATTAGATAAGTTGATGGAGGAAAGGTCCATAAACGGCTCTTGGCCAAGATGGTCAGCAGTGCAACCCCACATTCTGGGCTTCCCTAAACCTCTGACTGCCAGAAACAAGGACTGGACAACAGGGGATAGATCACTCAATAATTGCCTGGTTCTGTCCATTTCCTCTGAAGAATTGGCACTGGCCACTGTCGGAAGACAGGATACTGTGATAGATGGACCATTTGTCTGACTCAGCACGGGAGTTCTTATGTTCAAAGTGAGGTTTTTATAAGTTTAAGAATTATACTGTGGCTGTCAGAATACATAGAAGTTCAAAAATAAAAATGTTTTCTCAGATATACAGTTCTACAGACCACACAATGTGGAAAAGGGCAAGTTACTGAATGAAATTTTTTTTCCCCCTCTCAGAAGTTTGACTTTTTTCCAAAACCAGCCATTTTAATTTACATTTGAGAAAACATGATTCATCACATAAATGGATACATACAAATGGAAAAGCAAAAATCAGGTTGGGGGAAAAACGATTAAAAGAACACTTTTACATTTCTTTATCAAAGTTTCAATCATATGTACCATTGGCTTATTACAACAGAATCGAGAGATCTAGTTTGTTCTACGTTTCTTTTCCAGTTTTACTCTTTGCACTTCTCTCAGAATGGATATGAAAATATGCCAGTCCATTTCATTTTTAGGCTTTCATACACTTCCAAAAAGCTGTAACATTTGAGTGGCAAATATTACAGGAGAATATTTGTTGTTCCCTCCCCCTTCCCCCCCCAAAAAACTGTCTGGAACTTTTGTAAAAGTTGGAAGCTGTTGGCCCTAAGTAAAAGCTTTCTTAAACTCCTACCTCCTCCCACCCACCTTTGCTCACAGTTGCTTTATAAGAAAGAGAGTAGTAAGTTAAAACTATACTCTCCCCCTATCAGAGTCCTTCCTGCTTTGCCTGGACACTGCAGCCTGCAATGTACACTCCCTCCCCTCTATAGATTGGCAATCCCAACAATACCTCGGTACAATGGGGCAGATTAGGGTAGTATTGTACTTAATTTTTCTAGTTAAAATACTGAAGCTATCTTAAATGCTGCCACACTAGATTACAGTTTAGAAAAGGTTTTCTTACCTCCTTCAATTTAGTCAAAAGATCTTCCACATGTTTCTGTAAATTTTCATTTGACAATTTTAAGCTGTTTACCTGCTCCTCCATTCTGGAAACCTGTGTGAACAACAGGTATTAAACATAAGATGATTATTTTTCATTTACAACTACATATATTTTTCAAATGGTATTTCAACAGAAATGCAGTATCTGATTATTGACCAAAATATACATTTCAAAGTTTCTAATTTCACAAGCGATAGTATAAAGGCCATTTTTTCTAAAGAATTTTGTCTCTGTGCAGATATCTAAAAGCAGCCAGATTTTCAAAGGTGCTTTGCATCCAGGCGCTTATGACAACTGAAAACACAGAAAATCTGGCTGCCTCACTTACTTGCCTAACAGGAGCTGACCACTTAAGTAGAGGTCTAAATAGGAGCTGATTAGTGACGAGCTATTTTGAAAATAAAGCCCCATGTTTTTCCCCCACCCAAAAAAATACATGCTAAAATGAGGCTGCATTACCAGTACAATTTTTTTGTACATATTTAAAAAAAACAAACAGTCTTTTTAGCAAGAAATTGTATTTCTGTATATTTTCACTAGCACTGTTGTATTACACCTTGTGCTTTTAGCTACTTCCAATTTATTATCAGTAATCTTACAAAAATAATCTTCAATTGCTCTACCTTACTTTAGATGTCCATACCAATATATTCATTCCCTGAAAACTATAAGTGACCAAAGCACATAATGGAAAAAAAGCACAATTCCCTACCTTAAAACATAACATCACCCAAAACTTCAAGAATGTACATGAAAATTTGCCCCTTTACATGGAATTGAATCCATAGTGAAGAGTGTCAGTGCTATAAAAATTCCTCACTCAAGTAGTCAAGGGGTATTAGACTCCAGATAATTGTTATCGTATCTTGACTAAATTTTGTTTTCTTTTTTAAAATTACTTAGAAAAAATATTTATATTATTTACTACTTTACCTCTTCTTTCTTGTTCTCCAGACTACATTTAAGCTCAAGGATTTCATTTCCCTTTTCCCTGGCAATAAGCAGGAGTTCATCTGTTTTGGCTTTCAACTCAGTGTGCAGCCACGTGTTCTGATTCTGTAATAATTCCTTTTCTTGCTCCAACCTTTTCTCACGATACTAAAAATAAAATTGTGAAAGACAGCATGATAAAACTAAATAAATTGGCACTTGTAACAAGAATACTTTCTATGCAAAACTTTTTCACAAATTGCATGTGAGTGTGTTAGTGGCTAGCTCAGGTTTGGGGTTAATGATGCACCCATGCATAGCCATGCATCCAGGAGCCTCAGCAAGTTAGAATGGTCTTTAACCTGTCTCTTCAATAGGTAGTATAAACCTGCCCCGGCTGAGGTATTAGTGTCTAACTCCTTTTCAGGTACAAGACAGAAAGCACATTAAAGGCAAAAAAAAAAAAAAAAAAAAGTGTCCAACATCATGGAAAGATATTATTTACCATTTAAGTTTAAATAGGGGCCAAAGGCCATAATTAGCCTTGGGGCCCCATTGTGCTATGCTTGACACAAACATAAAAAGATATGACCCAGCCTTTAAAAAACAGGAATTACGGACGTGGAAAAAGAAAATTAAAATAGAATGCTATAACAGATCCCCACTTCTGGAGACTTAAAAGCTTGATGAATATGTCTAAGGAGAGACTAGGTTAAACACCATGTATAAGCCTCAAAGTATCAAAAGGGTCAGTGTGCCAATACTATAGTCATAACAAAACAACAATAGTTTGCTTATTTGTTTGACTATATGAAGGCAACGCTGCCTCAAACAAACACTCAGAGACAAAATGATACTGAGGAAGAGTGAGTCAGGTTTCATAACTTCAGTAAGCCAAATACAGATTCATGCCATTTGGCTGAACCCATGTGTAACAGGTTCCTGGGGAGTGAACCGGGGATCTCTTGACCTAGAAACACAACTGTCTGAGCTAAAAGACCAAGCCCATTTACTTGCAAGTAGTAGCATATTCAAACCTCTGTAAGAGTTCCAACTACTAGAATGGAACAAAAAGCTATATTGTGTTAGTTAGGGATAGTCAAGGAATAATGTTTTCCAGAAATATCTAGGAAACTCCACATGGTTACCCTACAAATCTCCTGGAAACGAACTGATACAGATGCCAATGTAGCGCTGCACAAGCGTAAGTTAACATGACCTTGAACTACTAAAGAGAAGCAATGTGAAATGCCGACAGATAATATTTTGACATGGCTCTCTATTTAACTGACTGTTCCAGTTTCATATGAAATAAAAAAACTGAATGTATGTTATGAGGACTCTAGTCTGATACAAATAAAAGATAAGGGACCTTCTAACATTAAGCTCAAAGTTATTGATGGGATGAGCAAGGAAAATATATTAGCAAGATAAATGACTACGGTCATTTGACCAAGGTCAAACTTCCTAGCACCGCCTTTGGAAGTTAATTTAGAATTCTGTAGGACTATTGTTTCCTTGAGAAAATGAATACAGGTTTGATCAGCTACTAGAGCAGGGATCTCAAACTCAAATGATCAGGAGGGCCACATGAGGACTAGTACATTGGCACGAGGGCCGCATCACTGACACCCCCACCCCCGCTGCCCCCGGACCCACCCCCACTCCACCCCTTCCATGAGGCCCCACCCCTACCCCGCCTCTTCCCACCCATTCCCCGCCCCCATTCCAACCCCTTCCCCAAAGTCCCCACCCCAACTCCACCCCCTCCCTGCCCCTATTCCACCCCCTTCCCCAAATCCCCGCCCCTGCCCTGCCTCTTCTCCGCCTCCTCCCATGAGCTCGTGGCTCCCCGCTCCTCCTCCTCCCCCCCCCCCCCAAAAGTGCTAAGAGCCGCCAAACAGGTGTTTGGTGGCGGGAAGCACCTGGAGGCAGGCAGAGGAGTGGGGATGCGGTGTGATGGGGGTGAAGGGAGCTTGGCGGCCTCAGGAAATGGCTTGGGGTGGGGGGGGGGAAGAAAGAAGCTTGGCAGGCTGCAGCTAATAACTCCGCAGGCCACGTGTTTGAGACCCCTGCACTAGAGCGTTATCACTACAACCAGGAATGAAGTCTAGAAAGTTGATTTCATGGATATTGGCAGCCCTAGAGTAAGACCAGTTTGCATGAATTACAGAAAACAATTGAACAGTTTAACCTTATTGGAAGGTTACAAATGACATTTTCCTGCTATGACAAAGACGTTTGCCTGCGTCCTTTGAAAGAAGACCCGTTTTTATACCACATGTAGTTATCTTCTTATTGATACATTGCAAAGACATCAATTAAGTAGGTAAGTCACTGGAACTCTCACTACTGACAAGGGTAATCCATGTAAAACACTACTTACCTTGACAGAGACATCCGATGTTTGAAGCTCATCCAGCTTTAATTGTAGCTCCACTTTTGCTGTGTTTGCTTCTGTAAGTTTCTCATTTAGACGTTTAACATCCTCTAGAAAAATCAGAGACAATGTAAGATGCCAAACATTCAAAACAGTATCAGTTATTACTGTAAATAAATCAGATTTAGTACCTTAGAAATGAAGGCTACCTGTTTATGAGAAGACTTAATTGTCAATATGTGTCTCCGTACAATTAAATATCACCTAGAATGCTGTTGGGCTTTTCCCCTGACTTGCACTTACATTTCCCCCACCACTTTCCTCTACCAATCTGACTCCTATTCCTTTCTGATCTATTAATGGGAGTTACCCATACAAATTTGGATAATGAACCATTATTGAGTTTAGGTTTAAGTCTGACTCCCAAAGCAGGTGTAAATCAGTTATGGTTTTAGCGTATTTACTAATCATACCATTTAAGTGTTCAATTTCTTGAGAGCGTCTCTCACTCGTTCGAACCAAATCTCTCTTTTCACCTTCCAATTCTTCTTTTGCTCTAGTAAGCTGACTCTTCAATTAAAAAAAAAAGTATCAGTTTTATGTTAAAAGTCGTGGTCATTTTTTAAACTTACTATCATACAGGGAAAATGCTGTAGTAAGCAGAGGTTATCATCCTAACCATTTGTAATGTATGTGTGAAAGCAATCCTACTATTTAGTACACAGGAAGGTGTTTAACTGCTCAAGCAAGTCAGTTACTGAAACAAACTGGAATCTTGTGTCTGCCTTTGATTTCCACTACCATGCTGGGCATCTGTTCAGTTCTGACACAGAGGGAAAAATCAACATAACTTCATGCAACACCCTGAAGTTTTCTTGGAGGTTTCATCCCATGCCCCTGATTAGTTTATGAAATGTAATCTCAATCTGAGATGGTACAGGATATCAACTTCTTTACCTTTAAATGTAAATTGAGAGTACACTAAAAGGGTACCCTATGTCCAAAGAAAAAAAAGAAATAGAGGTATCAGCCACTCTAGGAGAACTGTTTATTGAACAGTGATGTTTTCTTACTCCTACTTTTACTACTCAACTGCTATAGAGATTTCCTCACAAGTGCAAGATAGACAGATTTCCTCTGGACTCCAGTAAGCATAGTCAGCTCTTCTTTGTTAGAAAAGCAGAAGAAATAGCTCAGAGTCCTAATGGGTTTCCAAACTCACAAATAAAACTTGTTCCGAATGTGCCTAAGGATAAAGCCTAGAACCAGAACTGTGGTATCAACAAAAGGTACTCTAGTCACAGAGTTAGTTCTCTGAATTGGTTTTATTTGGTGAACAAATTAGACTACACGCTATTAACCACAGACTAATCAAAGGGCCAGAGGGGAAAAAAGAAATTGCGAAGAAAGCCATCAGTAGCATGGGCTTGTCTACACAAGACAGTTGCACTGATTGAACCAAGAATATCAATTTGAAACCAATTTTGTTAAACTGGTGTAAACCCCTGTGCAGAAACTTATTTCAGTTAAAGTAAGACTTCTCAGGTTTAATTTAATTTGTTTGGGAACACTTTTAAGCTATGCTAAAATAAGTCACTCTTAATCAGAAATAGGAGTGCCCACAGTGGAGCTTGAACCGGGACTTGAAGAGCACAACTTTCCTGAATAGACAAGGCATTATTTGCATATCTAGCTTTTGATTGTCAAGAGTCCAAACAAAATATGCACCCTAAATTCTAAAGCCTTTCAACTATCTATTGCTACATTTGCATACTGCATACTCAGTGATTCTATACCTGTATGGCTGTATTGCGATCATGAGCCGCTTCAAGTTCTTTGTTTTTCTCATTCAATGACTTCAACTGCTCATCTGTGGGAGGAGAGGGACAAGGAGGGAAAATTAAGGAAACATTTTAATATTACCAGAACATGTGCATTAGTTATACCCAGTTGGTAAATTCATGTTCCTGCTTTAGAATAATATAAAATTGAGAAGAGAAAAATTTCCCCAAAAATTAAAAATCCAATATACAAGCCATTGACCAAATTGGTACTCTTGTGATTAAAAACAAAAGTAGTTTTATCCCTACTCATCTGCTTTCTGGAAACCACTGACATATCAGCGTCTAAGGCCTGATCCTGCAACCTGACCCTTATGGGCAGTTTGTAGAATCTAACCCCTAGTTCCTTGAGTAGAATGTAAATAAGATGTTTACTCCAGTAAAACAGACTGAAAGCCTGTAGAAAGCAAAAACAACAAGGAGTCTGGTGGCACCTTAAAGACTAACAGATTTATTTGGGCATAAGCTTTCGTGAGTA